ATGAGACTACAAAAGATAAGATTATATATATATTATGGAGTAAGTTAATTTTGAATTAGTATAATTAAATATTAGTTATTTAAGTAGTTGTAGGATTATATGATATACCTCTAACGGCTCTAAGTAGTTTTTCCACACTTCATCACTATCGATGATTTTTTTTCTAATTGGGTCCCACCCAAACCCCAAACTGAATTTCATCAAATCAGCATATTTTTTATATCTTTGTTTGAAGTACTTCCACCGACTTTGATACTGTAAGTATGTCTTTTGACATCCAAGCTTTTCATTCGGCATTGGGAGTATTATAGATGCAACTGTTTGTTTAGTAATCAGTCCACTACTATCACGCCATACACGTTGAGCAGCCTCAACCAAAAGATCTAGTAATGAATTTTCTTCTACACTTCACGAATTATACACAACTTTTCCCTTTCCTTGCAAATCACCCATTGTAGAACTACCAAAGAAGTTATAGTTATTAAGCATAGGTTAGTCAAATTTCAAATGAGACAAAGATAAATTATTTTATGTTAGATCAGCTTAGTTATACTTTTTTGCTTTGATTAGAAGTTTCATTTGTTAATTATTATTAGTATATTAACTTATAAGAAGATTAAACCCCACCCATATCTAGTTTTAGCAGGTTCCCGCCTTTACTTTCATTTTTGGCAGATCATAGTAAACATGGAGAGTGTATTTTTACACTTACATGGAATATACTGAACATAAGTACATATGAAATATGAGAACATATTTTGATGTTCTTATATCTAATACTACGTACCACAGATAAAATATTATAAATATGCACAACTCCATGAGCTAAAGAAGCCTTTAATAATCCCTTCTATACTCTACAACGAAGGCTACAGAGTAAAGCAAAGTGAGACTTGAATTTACATAAAAATGTTAAAGAATCATGTTCACCATCCATTCCTACAACCTCTATTTACATCAGGAGAGCTAAAAAAAGCAATAAGTAGAGAGAATCCATAAACAGACAAGGAAACAAATCTCTGATCCACCTCTACTACTGGGAAGAAAAAGGATGACCAGTTGAGAATCCATAATCTTCAAAATGTCCCGTCAGTGCTATAATTGATGATACCTTTCAAAACTTGTTAAACTTTTTCTAGGGAAACACTCTGTTTCAAAACATCAAGTAGCAAAGCATGTGGATTCGATTAACTGATTTAATGAGCAAGATGTCCAATTTGATTGGTTAAGAAAAAAGCTCTTAATCAGTGTCAAAAAGTACTTCACAAATAGGCTCATCAAAATTAATAAAAGCAACCACAAGATGGATTGAGCAAACTATATACGATTCGAGCACAATTAACAAATATGTAGTAGTATGCCATAAAAATCAATATGCATAAATTATTATATCAATTCATTCGAAATCTAAATTTTGCTAACCGACAATAGGCGCAACATAATATATCATGTGTGTATAAAAATCAATATAGATAAATTACGAGGAGCATATGACTCCCTGTAAAAACAGTCCATGCTTCAATAAATTTCGCACTTCAGCGAATGAAATTGAAAAAGTTTACGACTCAGAAATTTGTAGATAGATGAACACGTGAGGACATAAAAATCTGGAGAAAACCATACCTGGAGAATACTTGAAGGATGAAGAAGGTGAGTGTAGTTGGAAGATGGAAGAGAACACACCCATGGAATGCGTCGATCGAACCGTCGTATGTCCGCAGGGTTTTTTTTAAATTGGATTTGGAAATTCAAGGGGTGCTAGTGAGATTGTTGGTGGATTGGGGTTATTCATTTTTTTGGCCTAAAAGTCCATCAAAGTCTATCAAAGTCCATCAAAATAATAAATAAGTAAAATCCATGGAATGTTTGAGGATACCCGGATTTTAATAGACTCTATAGAAATCTAAATTGGGACACCTGGATTTGGATGGAATTCTAAACTCCATTAAAATCCATGTTGGGGACACCCCCTTAATGGACTTTGATAGACTTTTAGGACAAAAAATTGAAAATCCCAATCCACCAACAATCTCACTATCACCCCTTGGATTTCCAAATCCATTTAAAAAAAAACCTGCGCACGTATTCTCTCTACCGGCAGTTCGATCGACGCATTCCCTAGGTATTCTCTTCCATCTTCCAACTACACTCACCTTCTTCATCCTTCAAGTATTCTCCAGGTACGATTTCCCATTAGTTGACATATCCAGTCCATTAGTTGTATTATTATGATCTGATCATCTGTGTGAATCAAAGGTGTGTTCTGCTTACTTAAAATGTCAAACATTCGATTCTATAATGAATTTCATGGTGGGCATATACATAATTGTTGTTTATGGTTTTCGCTTAGGGTCCACTTATGTCGCGATAGTAGTGGACTGATTACTAAACAAACTGTTGAATCTAAAATACTCTCAGTGCTGAATGAAAAGCTTGGATGTCAAAAGACATACTTACATTATCAAAGTCGGTGGAAGTAATTCAAGCAAAAATATCAAAAATATGCTGATCTGATGAAGTTCAGTTCGGGTTTTTTGTGGGACCCAATTACAAAAAATTCACGACTACTGATGAAGTGTGGAAAAACCACTTAGAGTTATATCATATAATCAATCCTACAACTACTTAAATAAGTAAATAACTAATATTTAATGATACTAATCCAAATTTAACTTACTCCATAATATATATATGTGTGTGTGTCTATATATATATATACATATATAAATATATATATAGTGCGGTTCCGATAAAAAACATCATTATCGTGCAAACTGTAAACCGTCACTTTTGGCTCAATTTGATTCACTTTGAAGCTTGTATCTTGCACTTTTTGAACTTTGGTCGAATCATGTCAAATAGAAAAAAAATGGTGGCACTTTTGTAAATAAGTCAAAGTTGTATGCCATTGTGAAAAAGTGCAACATAGAAACCTAATAGTGCATCACAATGGGGGGAAAGTGACCGGTTTGTAGTTTTCACGAGAAGAAAGATTTTTATTTGATCCGGGATATATATATATATATACTCCAGGGGGCGTCTGGGGGAGGGGGGTTGGCGGAGCCTGGAGTAATTTAGGCTGAAACTCACTCCATTGAGTTTCGAACCTGAGACCTCCCGTAAAGGAGAGTGAGTCGACGACCATTCATTTAAAGGGTCAAATGAAAACCTTTCTTAACGTGAAAATTAAAAATCATTCACTTTTATCCGAATGTGATGCACTTAAAGGGTGATCTGTTGCACTTTTTGAACTTCAGCCGAACCATGGTAAATAAAAAAATGAGGATGCATTTTCGTAAATAAGTCAAAGTTTCTTATCAATGCGAAAAAATGCAACACAAAAATGTAATAGTGCATCACACTGTGAAAAAGTGGACGGTTTGCAGTTTTCACGATAAGAATGTTTTTTATTTGATCCATACCCATATATATATATATATATATATATATATATATATATATATATATATATATATGATCTTCTCTTTTGTAGTCTCATGGTGCTCATAAGAATCTTTGGACGGATACCATTCACGACCATGAATATTTACAAATAGTAGTTGGGAATGTAACAGCTACAGTGAAATCTTCAGTTGACTTAGGTGAGAAGTCTGATGCTAGGACATATGTTGTTGAAGAGAACATTCAAGCTTCAATAGAAGATTATGTGTATGATGAGTCTCAAGGCGCGTACGTCTCAACCCAACAAGATCCAATACACGATTTAACTGTGCCTCCTACATGTGTAAATAGGAGTGCAACTCCCTCAAGAAGTAGTGGTTCTAAAAAGCGAAATGTGAAGGGAGCTCTAAGCCAAAAAGTAGTGAGTCTCGTTCTGAATCTAAGACGAAGGTTGCTAGTGGAATGGATTCTATTGCTTAGATTGCTAGTGACATTCGAGGAATGAGAATATAATATTGATGGAAAAGAGAGAAAGATAGGGAAAAATATGAAATTGAGAAAAGGGAATCAGAGAACAATTACAACATATGGAATGTTATAAAAGAGACTTCGGATTTGGAGGAGCGCACACGCTACAAAGCCCCTACGCTCATATATAAGTTTGGAATGAAAGAAGCTTTTCTCAAAATGTCACCTCAAGAGCGTCAAGAGTGGATAAACTATAACATTGAAAAAGACTGCTTGATTTAGGAAGCTTTCTTCGCTTTATTTTTCATGAAAATTTTATTTATGATGGAACCATTCTTGTTGAACACTTTGGTTATTGAACTTTTATTCCTTCCTACCGTTTTATAAAATATCTATACCATTTGGTGTTATTTTTAATTACTTATCTCATTTATACAATTTTGTTTATGAAATATGTATACCATATGGTGTTATTTTTAAATACTTATTTCATTTATTGTTGTGAAAGTCCGATTAAAATGACATTTAAATGTTTGTATAGGTTAGATGAAATGAGGGAAACTTGTGAAGAATTTTATGAGATGTTGAGGTTAATTTTATTAGCTCTTGAAGCAATACTTCAAGTGACCTATTACTCTTAATGCATGAGGGAGAGTATATTGAGCGTCCTACTCGCAAACCTATCACCACCATTGGATTTAATTACATAAGTACGATATTAACTGAAGATACTGTGCATTTTAAAGAAATGCATAGGATGTACCCCGATGTTTTTATAAAACTTTATAGCATCATTAGGGAAAAACATCGCTTCGAGATGACCGTTATGTTTGTGCGGAAGAAATGCTTGCGACATTTTGACTTACGGTTGGTCAAAACAATCATTTTTGTATTACACGCAAGAGATTTGGTAGAGCACATTCTACTACTAGCAGAAATTTTAACAAAATTTTGAAGGCTTTAAACACAATTTCATCCATGATGATGGTGAAACCGGCAGCTGCTGTACCTAGCAAAATAAGAGAGAGTACACGGTTTTATCCTTACTTTAAGGTAATCAGTTAGTGCTCCTATAAAACTTTAATTTCTTATTATAATTTTAAAAATATTATTATTTGTTTTCTCACTAGGATTGTATTGGAGCAATTGATGGTACAATGGTTGGGAAGGTTCAGCTCATGATTCAAAATTATTAAATGATGCAGTAAAAAGAAGAAATGAGTTAAAAGTTCCATGAGGCAAGCATCATTTTTATCACTATAAAGTATTTTGTATTTGTGTGGTATAGTAATTTATCATGTATTTGATTTGTCATCTAGGAAAGAGTTTTTTAGTTGATTGCGGGTTTGCAAGTCGTCGTCAATTTTTGGCTCCATTTCGAGGTGTTCGATATCATCTTCAAGATTTTGGTGGGCAAGGTCGTCATCCTGAAAATGAAAGAGAGTTATTCAATTCACGTCATGCTTCCTTAAGGAATGTTGTTGAGAGAATATTTGGCATTTTTAAATCATTGTTTGTGATTTTTAAGTCAGCTCCTCCGTTCCCATTCAAAACGCAAGCAGAGTTAGTATTGGTTTGTGCAGGAGTGCATAACTGTCTGCGCAAAGAGTGTCACTAAGATGAATTTCCTGTTGATTCAGACGATGAAGACTCTTCAGACAAATCTTTATTAGAAGACGACGAAGATGAAATTGACACTCTCCAAACGCAGGATGAACAAAGGCAATATGTGGATGAATGTTATCAATGAAGATTACATAGATGAATCTATTCCTTTTGTTACTTTAGTACGATTCCTAATTGTTTAAGGTTGTGCCTGGATTATGGATTAAATATCAATTACATAGTTTGTTATATTTTAATTTAAGGTTTTTTCTTAAACATGACTAGATTGAAGCGGAAAAAATGAAATAATGAAAAAAAAAGAACGAATACAATATTTTGTCAAAATATTTTCCAATGAATTTTTTGACTTTTTCCAATGAATTTTTAAAAAATGAAAAAAAAAAGAACGAATACAATATTTTGTCAAAATATTCTGACTTTTCCAACGCCGGTTTGCAGTGGCTGAACAGGTGTGGGGGCTGGGAACTAGGATACATGAAATAGAATTCCATATGAATTTCATGTAATCTGTAGAATTCTTTAAAATCCATAGAATCTAGAATCCTTTAAAATCATTTAAAATCAATGTTAAGGACACCTAAAATAATCAATAAGTAAAATCTAATGAATGTTTGAGTATACCCAAATTTTAAATTTTTAATAGATTCTATAAAAATCTAAATTGGGAACACCTGAATTTGAATGGAATTCTAAATCAATAAGTTTTTCATTAATTATGATCTCTATGTACTCTACGTCACGTATACTGTATACATAATACATGTCTACGTACAGTCTTTATTGGATCGTAAGACCATTTGGAGTGGTGTGAGAGCCCAATTGTCAAAAATGGACTCCGTCCATATGAAAAAAATGTTTTGACTCTTATTTCTCTGCATTCCAGCACTGTCAATAAAATACACTCTGCATAGTTTTTTACATATCAATTTAGTAAAATATTAATTAAATTATTATAACTAATGTTTTCCTTTTAATTTTTTCTCTGATTAATTATAAAATAAAAAAGATGCATTTTGATGTAAAAATAAATAAATTTAATTTATTTTTTTTTAATTTTTTTCGATTAACAAAAAATGAACTTCGACCAAGTATAATTCGATTATGGAATATTCAATTATTTATGAAGGTTCCATGAATTAAAAATCTATGTTTTGTGTTTTAGGCCTAAAAACTCCAGTATTAAAATTTTAGATTTTTTTTCCAAACATATATATATATATATATATATATATATATATATATATATATATATATATATATATGCAATATTAGTGTCCAATGAAAGATTGTAAAATTTTATAAATTTTAATATACTTTTTGTAAAATTTGGAATATAAATAAAAAAGTTACATACATTTAAATGAAAAAGGGTTTTTTGATAAGAACTTCATTTAAAAGAACAGTACGGTCCTTCTGGCCATCTCTTGTCCAGCTGCGCAGCCTCCCTCCCTATTTCCTTCAGTTGGCTGTCAATCCATCTTCTATATTTGAGACCCTCCCCGCCCCTTTTCATTTTTAATACCCTCAACTAGTCACCAATGTAAGAACTTAGGAGTCCAAAAGTTTCATTTTTAACATTTTGGACTCTTAATACCCAACGACTACAATCTCAGACACAGTGGCCCTGACCTATTCAGTAACAAAATTTGTTAGGGGCAAAATCCCATATCCTTTCAACTAGAAAAAAAATACTCCTCCGTCCAATTTAAATCTTTACACTTTCCTTTTTGGGACGTCCCATTTACTCCTTTACGTTTCCTTTTTTAGAAACTCCTTTAACATGATTTGCCATAAATACCCTTCACACCATCCACCCACATTTGCATTTAATTAGATAAAATTAATTACCCACCCACTGCCCAACCGTCACTCTCTCGTATACTCCGTACTATTCCTCTAATCTAACCCTCCATGCGCAGAACCCAGTGTCGAGCAAATACATTCTTTCTCTCCATGTGTTCATCTTCTCTCGCGATTAGGGTTTTAATGTTTTCCTTTTTTGTTAAACAACTATGGCAGATCCGAATTCAGGCATGGATCTTGAAGATCTCAAACATGCCATTGTCGAAGACTCCTTCGAACACCGAGTTCCTTCTCTTCCTGAGCAATGATCTGTTGATAACTTTTGCCGGCTTTACTTTACAAGTAAGATACCCCAAACTCTTTTTTGAACTACTCCGTATAATGTTAACTGTTTTAAGATAATTCAACTCTTTTTCTGAATTTCCATTTTTCTCAACCTTGTAGGCACTACTGAGAAATCCCCAAAGGACTTTTCAACCTGTTTTGGGTGATACCCTCTACTCAGTGCCTCTGTAACCTTGTCTAAACACTTTGTGTGCTATGCTTTGATCTATTTTGAGTTTCACTCTGTTTGCTTGAGACATAAAATGTTGAGATAGTTGCTTATGATCTGTGTTGGTAGTATGTTAAGTTGTCTGATGAAAATAAATGGCCTTTTCTGAAATAAAGAATATTTGTGCTGAGATCTGTATTGGTGTCACCAGTTATAACCAAACTGATGGTTACAACTCAGGAGGCCCAGAATGTTGTGATATATGCTTATGATCTGTAGATGGATCAATGATGCAATAATGTGGTTGTATATATATGTGTGTTGAGATCTGTGTTGGTGTCACCAGTTATAACCAAACTGATGGTTACAACTCAGGAGACTCAGAATGCTGTGATATATGCTTATGATCTGTAAATTGATCAATGATGCAATAATGTGGTTCTATATGTGTGTTGAGATCTGTGTTGGTAGTCTGTTAAGTTGTCAATGATGAAATTAAGTGGCCTTTTTTGAAGTAAAGGATATTTGTAACCTGTAAATTGATCAATGATGCACTGATGTGGTTCTATCTGTGTGTTGAGATCTGTGTTGGTGTCACCAGTTATAACCAAAGTAATGGTTAAAACTTAGGAGACCCAAAATGTTGTGATAATTGCTTATGATCTGTTTTGATAGTTTGTTAAGCTGTCAATTGATCAATGAAAGTAAAAGGCCTTTTCTGAGACTGTAACACCAACAAAGAAGGTGCATCTGTACTCAGAATATACTGCATCTATACTAAACAGTATACAAAAACAATGCATCTATACTAGACTGCATTCAAAATGCACCGCATCTATATATAACATGGTGCATCTATATTCAAAACACGTTGCATCTATAATGTTGAGTATTCAAAATTATGTCCCTGATCAGTTCATATGTGATGATGATGCTCATATTCACTTATTAACTGACCTAGTTCAGACTCACATACATCATGTGAGCCACCACCATTTATATGATCCGAGGCTTCTTCAATTAAGGCTGCATGTGGCCCAACACTTAGAGGTAAAATTCCTTGTTTGGACAATCTTTTCTTTCCAATATGTGGTATCTTGTACACATTGCTCCCTTTCACCCTCATTATTTCAGTCATACAACATTGTAGAGTAAGCCACACATCATTCAAAGTTTTTGCCTCTAACTTTTCAAATGCATCTTGAACACATTCAACCAATTCAACAACTGTTTTTGGGGTAGACTCGTGTTGCAATGACTGGATGGCATTAAAAAAACCTAGATCTAGAACATTTAGATCAGGACTGTTTGGGGGTTGACATGTTAAATGAATGTCAAACCCATCAGCTTCTGCAACGGCCTTAAAATCTAGGTCAGATGGGTTAATGTGAGGTTTGGCATTATCTTGTTGAATAAAAATAGTTTTGCTTCCATGAATAGGCCACTTGGATTTAATAGCTGGCACCACTTTTTCAATTAGAAAAGCCTTTGTAATGTCTTTGGTGATAGATAACATAGGTTTAGTCTCAAGCACACCTGCCACTCTATTCTTGAATGCCCTCTTTGCTGTCTCAATGACTGTGAAAGGGAAAATCCATATTTTCCCATCGAATAATACCTCTCCATTTGGACCAAATCTTGGCCTAGCCACAGCTGCCAAGAACATCACTTTTGTAATGAACCTTTTAGATTTACAAGTCCTGACCGGATCTATTTCAGTAGGGTGCATGTAGTATTTTTGAGTAGTTTTACTTAAGAAAAACCATTTCTCATCTATATGAATGTAGTTGTAGAATGCATCAAAGGTTGGGGTTAATCCAATACTTCTCGGGTTCAGTTTCAGTAGACAGAACTCTAACCTTTTTTCATGTTTTCCTCAGTAAGAAATGGCTTTATTGCACTGCTATGTGATCTGATATCACCTCTTTGCACCAGCCTGTGCACTTGTGACTTTGACATTTCAAGAGACTTTGCCATGGTTCTAATATTTCTTCTTTTGTGTAGAGGAATATCAAGCAATTTGGAGATCTCCAACGGACCAATCTGCCTAGGTCGGCCTTTGTACTTGGCCTTAACATAAATTGGAATTTTCAATAGTAGCTGGTTCTTCATAACATTCCAAATGATGCTAATGGACTACCTTGAACAAGAAAACTGAACAGCAAGAGCAGAAATCAAACCCCTACGCAGCTTTCCATTGACAGAAGAGACTAATAAAATCTCTGCAATTCGAGTTCTATCTTGTGAGTTTAATTTTTTTGTGTTCATTGAGAACTTCTGAGGGTAGGCTTTGTATAGAGTGTAGGCTTTGTATAAAGACTCAATATTGTATGGTTTGAGAGACCTATATAAAGGTGTTTGTGAACTGCTGTAATGGACTTATCTTTTAATTTGAGTTGAAACTTAAAAATTTGTGTTGATGTTTTCCCTCCACTTCTGTACTCGTATTGCCCTCCCACTTGAGCAGAATTAGGAGTGGACTTGGGCCGGGCCAACCGGCCCGGAACTGGACCGGCCTGCTACTGTGTGGGCCCGGCCCGGCTCGGTGAACCGGTTCCGGGCCCGGTTCGGGCCAACCGGCCCGGTGGGATGGCGGTTCGGGCTTGGGCCCTTCAAAAGGTGAACCGGCCCGGCCGGTTCGGGCCCGGCCGGGCTATTTTTTTTTTTGATTTTTTTTTAAGTTTTTGGGTTGGGTTGGGTATTTTGGGCCATTTGAGGTGGTTAGGGTTGGTTTGGGGGTGGGGGGGGGGTTAGGGGTTAACTAGGAAAAGCCAAAAAAAAAAATAGAACCGAGGCCCAGCCCGGACCCGGGGGTTACCCGGGCCGGTTCCGGGCCTCCCCTTCTTGAACCGCGGCCTGGCCGGGCCCAGGCCCGAACCATGCCCGAACCGGAACCGGTCCATGCCTGAGTAGAATTAATTAAGAAAATGGGGGAGTTACCAGCCGCATGGAGTAAAAAAATCAACTCCCACTGCCTGGTACTGCTCACCTGTCCAGTCAGTGGGAACTACCCCCCTTTCCGCATATTAACAAGGTCCAAAGAGTGCCAAAGGGTATAAAAGGGCTTTCTATTCCATTAATTGGTTTTCTTAAACATCGTGCCAAAAGCAAACGTTAGCTTTTATCCGGGACGGAGGGAGTAACATACTCTAAACTTTGATGGGGTGTGAAGTAAAAACCCCAAACTTGTGTATGTAATTTAAATAGCTCAAACTTTATATAAAAAGTTATTTTCACACCATTGTCATGTATTATTTCTTTCAAAAATTTAAATTTATGGGTTTAATTGCATAATTTAAAATAGCAATTTAATGGTGTTGCAATTATATAGATTTGGTGTTGCAAAATATTTTAAATTATGAAACTAAC